TTCTGCTAATATCTTTTTTCATCGCTTTTTCGTACCATTTCTGCTAAATCAATAACTGTTTTCTTTGAGATGCGAAAATTTTAGAGAATTGAAAGTTATCATAGCTACAAAGCCATGGCTCCATCAATGAAAATTTTTTTCTGAAAAAAAAGATTTCTCCCATTAATACTATGAAAGGTTTCTTATAAAAATTTCCATACACCGTTATAGACGAAAAAGCACCGATTATTAAGTGATAATAAAAATAAGCAGAAGTTATATACGAGCTTCTCTAAAATAAACAACTTGCAACAAAACCGCGGTTAAAACCAACGCGTTCAAGCGATTCGAGTAACTGACGTCATCAACCCGTGTGTTATCTTGAACCATACTATAACCGCGATACATAACAGAGAAATTTTGGTTATTCGCTTGGATTTGATTATACATTCATTGTCATCGAATACAGAAAAACAGAATAATAAGTTGTGACTTTGTTGATTTAGCCTTCTTTGTCACACACGCGTGTTTCGGGAAAAACAATTAGACGATTACTCGTATTCTTTCTGATTTTGCATGAATTTATTCATTTTGTAGATGGGCCTGCGATTTCCAAATCGTTAAATGGCGAAGTGATAGCAGATGCGCGTATCGTTCATGAGCAATCGTGGCTTAAGGAACGGTTGTTCTAAGAAGCTTGAAAATAGTTCCAGTTTGTTGGAAAAATACATTATTTTTCAATACCCCCTTCCCCCCCGTGATCTTCCAACTAGTCCAACCTCTGTCCCTCTTACTGAAATATGATTTGGGGGAGTTTTTTAAAAAAGTTGCAAATACAGTGGATTTGTGTGTTTGTTTTGGTGAAATTGTGTTTGATCCAACTGGCAACCCTGTTTTGAACATACGTAGCACGGCACCACAAAACATATACACTGATGTGACCTTTTGATGCACATGGTTGCCAGATTGTGAACAAATGCCTACATACGACGTTGCAGGCTCTTTGCATAAATCTGAGATATAATTTTATAACACTGCTAATCAGAATGCAAAAGTTATATGGAAAACATGATTATATAATATAATTTCGGAATATTTAGAGCTTCGTTAAAATATAATATACTACGTATAATATTTTATATGATTCAAACATGTTTTACTGTATATAATCAGGATAACTGACTTTGGATTCACTTTTATCAGCTGCTTTCTAAGCTATCAATATTTGAAAAAGTAACAAAACCCTTTATGCTATTATTCTTTAAGTTCATATTCAAACTTGAAATCTACGGAAATTGTGAGATTATCATATCAACTACAGAATTAGAATGTTAATAGAAGCTCTACAAAAATCACTCAATTCGACATAAAATTACCATCACTGTGAAGCACATTAGCCATATGGTGCTGAAGCACTCAATTGTCGAGATATATGATCTGGAGAGAAAAGAATAGCAAGTAATCTATATTCTATCTAACTCTGAACACCATGGGTTGGTAGTCTAATACACATAGGTGACTGTTGAATCGAGTAGAAATCCTCAATAGCCGTAATATTCTAACAAATACATCCTTCCAATATATAATTTCTCTATGATTAAACCCTTTTGCAAGGGATTAGGATGCTCCGTTTGTTGATTGCTGTTCTCTTATAAAATTTCACAAGAAGGTTAGGTGTGATACTCCAGTTTCCAAAGTTCATCAACTCAACAAAAAATGTAGTTTAAATAAGAACGGCTTTAATAAAATGTGTGCTTACACGAAACTGACCTTCGAATCCATCCGGCCATCCAGAATAAGGAAAAAGATTGAAAGTAAATACGAGTATACCCTTTTTCACGAGTATTCATCACGGTAGAATCACAGCTGATAGCAGCACAGGACACATAATTCTAATAGATCCGTCAACGTCAGGTAGTTAGAGCTGTATTTTGTTTTGGTTTATGTATGCTACAGATTTATTTTCTACTTGCTAACAGCTCTCTTATCTAGAAAAGTTCAGTTGCATACAAAGCACAAAACGCTACAAACAAATTTTACTAGATTTACACCCGATTCATTATTGCCACCGTCGCAGACTAACGCAAAAATGTCACTTGCTGATCAGATGTTCACATCAGTAGACGTCAAAGCGTGATGGATACTCGTGAAATAGGGTTGAAACATTAGTTGCTTCCGAACAGCACACATTCTGACCTAACCTATATAAAACTAACTGAGCGACACTTACGATATCACACAACTTAGTTAAAATCTTACCTCCCCCCTTTCCGCTGTTAAAGACACTCGGATTTTCGTCTGAGATATCTTAGCTGATGTACTCGTAAGTTGGCGCCAAACACAACGTTTTTGAATGTTTGCCGTTCAAAATTGAAGTTAAGGATCTTTAATGTTTGTAATTTATTTCCCGTATACCCTATTTCACAAGTATCCATCACGCTTTGACGTCTACTGAGGTGAACAGCTGATCAGCAAGTGACATTTTTGTGTTAGTCTGCAACGTTGGCAATAATGAATCGGGTGTAAATTTAGTAAAAGTTGTTTTTGTATGCAAATGAAATTTTCTAAATAAAAAAGCAAGAACAAAACGAATCTATAGCGTACAAAAACCAAAACAAAATTTGGCTCTGTCTACCTGGCATTGACGGACGAATCCGATTCGTCAGAATTATGTGTCCTTTGCCGATATGGGGGATTTTGAAATATTACTAGATGATCAGTTGTCATTGTACCGTAATGGATACTCGTGAAAAACTACAACCACAAACCAACACGTCTAATACATCACAAAACATATACACTGATTATCTTATTATTCGCTCTTCGACAGTTGACAGGTATGGTACGTTCCTCTTGAAATCGTGCTTACGTTCAACAACTTAGCTCAGGTCAGTAGCTAACTTTAACTCAGTCAGAAAATCGCCAGTTCGTAAGCAACTATTACATGTGACAGTGACACTCATGACACTTGATATTAACAGCTGACGTGACATGTATACAATGCAATAGGACGGCGACGTGTTGCCGGTCAAAATGCATTGCGTTGTCCTTCTATGTATGAGTGTATATATTTTGGGGTGTTAGTACGATAATTTGTATAAACCCGTTCAGAAGACATATGTATTTCAACTTTTATGCGTATGTCTATGATTACGACTATTACTATTAAATTGTTGTATAAACCCGCAATTACACCAACATTTACTAGAAAATTATTAACTTTAAATAAGTTATATGAGAAGAGAATAAAGTATAACAGCTTATTTTCCCCTTGAGAGAACAGAAAAACAATATTTATAAAAACACTCCATGCAAATCAAATGTACATTCATTTATTTTGGATACAGTGCTCAACATTTGACGTTTTGTGACGTCATCACTAATGGAGCGTATCGGGGAATGACAGACGAGATCGTCGCAAATGTTACATTCTATGGTTTCATTAGTCCTTGTTCTTAATGGAAAATACTATCTGAATAATTCATTCGCAAGAAATTTTCCATTTTATGACTGTAGATTGTCTAATTATTGCTTACATTTAGTTTTTTATCAGAAAATCTGTGTAGTATCAATGGATTATTTAATAACAAGAAGTGGCAACGTCGTCAAAGGTAGAACGTCAATTTTTTTCCAGGCGGATTTTTGGACCCAGCGTTGTCGGCCCTACCGATTTGTTAGTATTTCTACGGAAATGAAACCTGATTTACTGAAATACCGAAAACGTTCTCATATACTACGATTTTTTTGTATAATCAGGCATTTCCAGATTGATTACCGAAAAAATGCTCGAACCAAATATAAAGCTGAAGAAATTAATTCTATGTCACAGTCTATTTAATTTTATTGCTCATACCAATCATACAGATGCGTACACTTAGGCACTCGGACACACGAGGCATCCAGATATGGGTTGCTTATAATTATGTACGTACAACTTTTACTCTGTATTCCCTGTATTAGTTTTTGTGCGTGCAAGGGATGCAGACTGGTAGATCACCGTTATTACCCCATCACAGGACAAGCAATACGGAAACCAAAGTTTAATAATTACAAATTAAACTAAAATGTCAGGTCATAAGGTTTCAAGTTTAGGCGCAAAACAGAAGAATATTCGCATTTTATAAATATGAATGAAAAAGGGAATTTCCAGGATGGTTGCAAAGGAGTTGGAAGAACAGCCAGTGTGCTCATTGTACGGTGAATGCGCCCAGTGTCCGGATAGTTTAGACAAAAATGGAATTGAAAGTGTAATTACGAATTTTGTGTTCAAGATAACTAAGCTTAAATGTTTTTGTAGGTGGTCATATATGTTGTTAACTTTTTGCCGACAACGTTAAGACTTTCACTATTACACACTATTACTGAATGATTTTAATATACATATTTGTATCAAAAATACATACAACCTACATAAAAATGAACAAGAAACAATTTTCCAACATTTCTCACAGCTTCGACTGTCTCCTTGAATATTTCGTCACTATATTTACATAGGTATGGAATTTTTTATTCTGGTATCCATATAAAATGTGAGTGGCCGGTTATTGGGAAGCTATGGAATTTCGCTCACTCCAGTAGTGGGACACGGTACACTTGCCATAATCTACATTATTTATCTTTTGCTGTCCGTCCACGGCGTCCACTGACTGGGTCTTTAGTCGTTTATTGGTTTGTTTAAAGCCAAGAGATAATTTTGATAGTATGTATGGTTTGATAGAAAAAGATAGATTGATAACAACCACGCCATTCCAGTAATCCGACTCTTGTCGTCCGACTATTAGATTTTGAGTATGATGATTCAGTCAGCAACCACTCCAATTTGACCCCAAAATATTAAAACAACATATCAAGATTGTGTTTTTTTTTCGTAACTTTTTGATTTATTTTGCATATGTAACAAGAGCAGCATTGATATATTGTCAGCGGACGATTCCAATAATTATTATTATTATAATTATTGCCTTTAAAGCTTATGTCACTGACTAGACAACTGACAAAAATTGAGGAATGGAATGAATGCTGTTCTTGACGCGCAATACAGGGATGACAACTGAGGATGTGAAATTTTTGTAAACTGGTACAAATTAGTTGATAAATCTGATACCAATTACCAGTAAGTATAGGATTTCAAATATTCATGTTTTTAGCAATAATACATGCAAGATTTGTAGTGTCCGGATTACAGGGATATTCATCCTACAAGTTTTCATAAGCTTTTTAAGCTTTTTTGCCCTTGATCCACAGCTGATCGTGCGACGGCCCTGATTTTCTCCTTTTACCGATTTCGTCTTTTTTGGTCCGGCAACACTGGACCACATTGTAGAAGTGTAGATGTAGATGTACTGTTTGTAGCTAGTGTGTGCTTTGAAGTTTGAATAAGCCTGAGCCTTTGTTTTCAATTTTTGCTTCAGACATTTGCATTATGCGTGTAACAGTAAGAAAATTAACAAATTCTGAGCCTGAGGACCATCATTTAGAAATATCAGGTGCTGCAAGCGTTTTCGAATTGAGGGAATTAATTTACGTTGTATGTGAAGTTGATGGCTGCCAAGAGCTTTTCTACGGAGGAAAACAGGTGAGAAGCATGTAAAATATTTTCGATGTTTTTTTTTCGTTTGCAGAACCTTTTGTTTTCCATTTGCAGAACCTTTTGTTTTCCATGTCATAATTTTAATGTCTATAGGATTACTTATTTTTGTTGTTTATTAACTTATTCTGGATGTCGCTTTGAAAAGATCTTGATTGAGTATGCCAGTATGCTTGACGCGACGCTAAATGTCGTCACTCGTCAGGTCATGTCCTAAAATCCTCCCTGAAATCTCATATTTGTAACAGCGTTGCCATATTGACAGTTTCCTCCAGACTGTGTAGGTCCTTTGGATATTATGGGAGACTTATTAAAGAGAAATATTTTGTTGGCTCTAGGAATCTAGGACGGTAAATGGGTGATGGACACTTAACATAACCACGTATTTAGAAGGTTATTGCAGATTTAACGTGTACACGGCAGTGTAATATGTAATTCTGCTGTAAAAAAATCTTGGATTGGGCACTTTATATCTGTTTTCCCAAAATACCATTTTCCAGCAATACCTCGACGGCAAATATCAACACAGAACAAGTGACCTTGAAGAATAGACCACAAAAGATTTATTATCGATCACAGGATGGAATGGATGAGAATTTTGAAAGCGCTGCGTTGCCATATTTCGCCACCTGAGAGGTGTATACTCCACATCGTGATTGACTGTGATTTGAAATATATTAACATGTGAATCATTCACGTTAGAGCTAAAAAGTTTTATGACAATGAAAATAAAAAGGTATATTTGCTGAGTGAATAAATAATAACAAACAATTAATAATCAGAAACAACAAATAAAATAAAACAATATTTTCTGAAAAAACAAACAATAAATAATCAAAAACAACAAATGAACAAAAACAGTGACTAAAACACAGTTTTCTCTAAAACAACATAATAAATAAAATATTAATATATATATATATATATATATATATTATATCATTTAAATTCAACTTTACTTTAAAAAAAATTTTATTTGAGGACAGTAACTACTGTCCGTTACAAACGTTTACAATTGAACATGAAGTTTACATAAGCGACTGTTAGGGTGCCTAGCCGGGTATTGAATAACATGAAATGGGCGCAAGGCCTATTTATACTATTGGTGTGCTTACAAGGCACTTCTAGAAAACAAAGCATAAGCAACGAGTTAGCGAGAAGTCGTTATCTGTTGCTGAGCTAGCGTCTGATGCAACATTGTATGGAATAGTAAGTCCATTGTTATGAGTGTATATAACAACTACCCCCTATTACAAAAAGTTGTTGCCATGCGACAACCTTTGACAAAATTAGAAAAGTGTAAAAGTTATTATAAAATATGATATATAGGCAATGCGGTTGCAATGCTTCACAAGTAAATGCTGAAACAAAACGTTAAAAGCAAGGCGTACAAAGATGTCATTAAAAATGACGTGGAAAAAGCCTGGGGATGTATCTGACTTTCGACGTTCCTGTTGACGGTCCATCAGCCAGGGTAATTTGGTGCACAAATACTGAGTGGTCGGCGTTTTCTGCATTTGCAGAAGATGTAGAGGGCTAAGATGACGGCTAGCAGGGTCATGACGACGTACGTAAACCAGGAGATATGTCGTGAAACAAAAGGCTCATTAAGTTTATCAAGTTGTTCAGAATACTGGTACAACTTGTGGTTGGCGATTTCTAGCTATTCTGTATCGATCTTGGTTAGCTTGATCGGTTTCAGGTTCGGCAAATTTTGTTTATTAGGGAGATGATTGCAGCATTCGTAGGGTATCTCTACAGGGTGGCTTTTATTAGTGATATTCTTATAAGCGTTAACAGAATATCTGGCATGAAGCCTTGTAGTGTCTATGAATCTACTGCATTCTGGCTGCATTTTCAAAAGTGATCACCTTTGATCACCTTTGTAGTTGTTTCATGTTGTCCGCATTTCATTGTGATGGGCAGCGGGCTAGATATGGTAATCAACAAAAAATTGGTTGCTAATTGCTGGATTTTATAATCCTGCAGAGCCACAATGGCTATTTGACATGTTGCTGGCAGATCGACCGGAGTTCGCAACAATTGTGCTTCGCAGACTGCATTGTTGTCTATTGGATACGGTAAGAGGTTAAAACAGATCTTAACCTGTGATTGGAGAATTTTGCAACTATCCAAATTTGAAAGGAGACGTACAAAAGAGAATCGCTATTTTTGGCAACGTAGCTCTGTAAGGTAGAAATTACATGAAATAGACCTGTATGTTCATCTGAAATGGGTAGAGGAATCATCTTGTATAAAGTGTAAACTTCAGGTTCTAACAATGGGATGCGTAGGACGAAAACTACTTTTGTTTTTGTTTGAAATGCTTCAAGTTCCATTAAATTGAGATATTCTGATACTATTGCCAAATTGACTGGCATAGGTAAATTGTTTTTTGATAAGGAATGAGAGATTTCTTGAAGAGAATTTACTAAATCTTGAGGAGTAATTATCGAAGGATGAATAATTTTCAAAGGTGCAAAAGTAATGGAAATGAGAATATCGTTAATTGTCTCTTCTAGAAACATATAACTTTCCATTAGTTGTTTGCAAAGTTCCAAAAATTGAAATCTAGCTTCATAAAATGCAAGATCATCTGAAATTTCATAAATTCTATTTTGAATAACCTTTATGTCTTCGTTAAAAGTAGCTTCGTCAATTTGAAGTTTCTGAATAGTATTATTGAAGTCCTTAATAACCGACATGGTTACTGAGATCTGATTTTTCATAAGGTTTTCAAGCTCATGTTCGTCTTTGGAAATTTTGTTAATGCAGTCGTTATAATATTCACCATCAGATGAATCAAGGTTACCTGCTATTGCTTTCCAAATTGTACCTATGGCATTAATTAGGCCGCGATGCGCTAGTTGTATCGTCGAAAATTTAGTAATATTTGGTTTTCAAGGAACGGGAAATTTGGTATAGAAGGCTCGTATGTGTCTTAATTTCGCTTCTGAATACTTTCATGCGATTAGTAGGTTCATTTACGAGAGCAGTCAAGTGTTCCACGATGTTATTGTTATCATCGAGCGCCTTTTTGATCAGTTCAAGATCTTTGTAAACGAGTAGTGTCCAAATTTCGTTAGAAATTTTGACCATCTTCGGCCATCTTCGTGGAAGTAAATACCTAATGTGTTGTTAATGGGTTTGATGTCAATCTGGGCCGTACAAACAGCTGCAAGAAACAGCAGACTGCAGCTGGAAGAGAAACTAAGTCTCAAAACATGGTTTCAGTCTGTCGAAATTGACTTTAGTTGTTCTGTTTGTTTCCGGATTTTTTAGTAATGCTGAATTTTAAAATACTTGAATGACCTCATATGGTCAATCGAATTTATTTTGAAGCTTATTGGAAATTTGGGATTGTTTGACAAAGACTTTGTTACCAATTTTGTACGTTTGGAGGTTCGGTGATACTCTGTTATCGAAACGCCTTTTGCTTTTGTTCGTCCGTTCTGGCACGGGCTACTTTATAATAATATTCGAGCTTATTCCGAATATCTCGAAGGTATTTAGACATTAATTCCTTTTCAAGGTAGACGTGTTCTGGGGGACGACCAGATGTAAGTCCGAAGACAAGTTCGTAGGGAGTAAAGCCTGTGGTTTTGTTCCGTGTGCATAGGACAGCATAGGGTTGGATATTAAAGGGGTGTTCGTTCGGATTTTCAGATACGTGCGTTCTAATCATTTCCAATAAAGTGGCATGGAATCGTTCGATCGATCCATTCGACTGGGGGTGACTGACGCTAGAGAATGGCATTTTGATATCATAAAGACTACAGAGGTCTTTCATAAGAGCATTGTCGAATTCTTTGCCATAGTCGCAATGTATTCGAAGGGGTGTACCGTAATGTTGGAAATAGAACAGAAGTATATTCACGACAGATTTAGCAGACTTGTCGTTAATAGGATAGGGTTGCGAAAATTTTGTAAGTTCATCTCGGATTGTAAGAGCATAGCTCTGAGGCGGGACTTCTAGAATGTCAATATTGATGCGTTCATATGGAGCTTTTGGAGTTTCTGTAACAACCAAAGGGGTACTGAGGTTTTTTCGGCAGATTTTAGTTTTCTGACAAATTTCACATTTCTTGATGAAATGTTCGACATCTTTAGTCAAACCGGGCCAATTGTATCGTTCACGGATACGTCTGATAGATTCGTTAATTCCTCTGTGGATATTTTTCTTACCACAATGGTATTGGTCTAAAATGATTGGAATTTCATCAGGGCTTGGAATTTCAGTTACATTCTGACAAATGACAATTTTGATATTTTCGTCGGAAAATATGAAAGAGAATATTTCTTGGATGGGCAGATCTAGGTTATTTTCGACGTAGATTTGTTGGGGCAAATCGAATATGCCTTTGTTGTTTAAAATAAGGGTGAACAGATGTTGTACGCAAGCCGCAGGATCGCACGGCACGGGAATTATATAATATTTGCTATCTTTGACAGTCTGACTAGAAGCGATGTTAATTGTGTCTGCAGAAAATTCGAGATTGGTTTCGAATATGTCTACGATGATTTTTTCATGAAGATCAGAAAGGGTGTTTTGTCTGAAGAATGTGACTATGTGTTTGTGGATTTTGTCTATAAGTTGGGAGTTAGAAAATAGAATTTTGGAATAGTCTATTAAAGAGGTGGTTTTATAAAGGCGGGCAAATACATCAAATTCATTTTCGAGAAATTGAGTAGAAGGGGAACCTTCTTCATAACTCGGGTTAAGGGCGTTAACATTCGTAGGTAGTTTAATGCGGGATAGGGCATCGGCATTCTTGTTGGCTTTGCCTGGCTTGTAGACTATTTCATAGTCGTATTCCTCTAGCTTGAGGCGCTATCTTGCTAACCTACTACCGGTATCATGGCAAGAAAAAAGCCAAGTTAATGGTCGGTGATCTGTGACCAATTTAAATTTTCGACCGTACAAATAGGATCTAAAATGTTTTACACTCCAAACAATAGCTAGGAGTTCTCTTTCAATCGTAGAGTAC